TGTTTTCGTAGTAGCTGTAGTCGCCCAGGTGCATCGAGTGTACGAAGTGGTCGGTTATATGTCAAATACTAACCTGGCGAGCTTGAACCTGAACTTGGCAACGCTGTTCCTTTAGCCGACAACTGTTCGTGACATTACGTTACAAAATTTTCCGAGCATCCGGGCATCGGCAGGGCAGCCCTCGTAGCGGGAGTTATGGGTTGATTTCCTTCATTTTTAAAAGTCGAGTAAGAAATTTTTTTTTCCGATTTTCTGTCTTTATTAAGCCTTCCGAATACGTGGTTAAAATTAATGACATTATGACTGAATCACCCTGTATACATAAATGCGAGATGGAATGCCGAGACTTCAGTTTTTGGGGTTACATGAAATCAGTTGTTTATGAAGAAACTATAAACAGCTGTTAAGAACTTTGGCAGGAGGTTTTAAAAGCTGCAAAGTCATTTCGCATTAAGGATTTATCCTTTACAAGACAATCTTTTAATAAACGCGTTGATAAATGTATAATATTTTTAAAATTGGTTTAAATTGGTTTAATTGGTTTTTCAAAAACAAAACTATGTGTAAACTGTTTGTCAAAACAAAATTGCAAATTTTAATTTAAAAAAACACAAACAAAAATTTATGCATTCATTGTACAGTTACCATTTTTTATAAAATAGTTACAATAGTTTATAAAATAAAATGTACATATAAGTTTTTTGAACAAAGAAATCATTTTGATGGAGATTAATTAAATTAGTTAGACATAATTATTTATGAATTTCAATTTCTGTTGCTCCTGTTAACAAGATAATTTTCTTATTTATTCTTCTTTATTTTTTCATTAAAAAATTAATTATTTTATAGCGGAATGAACATTAGGTACCACAAAAATAGTTATTTTTCCCATTTTTAAGGCAAATTTTCCAATCTTTTTGGCGGACAAGTATATTATTGTGTTATACATTTCAATTATTAGAGAAAAAAATCAAAACCAGATTGCTGGTTATCACCAACCATGTTGTCGTTAAGTCGACATCTTCGGGGCGTCGGACTGCAAAAACTTCTCAAGAATTTTGTCGGACAATAAGATACTTTCATTTCAAATCTTATTACCAAACCCTCCCAGAAAAATCAGCTTGCTGGTTGTCACCAACCATAATGTCACCAAATCGACATATTTGGGGTGGGGGACAAACTCAAAATACCAACATTTTTGTCGGACAAATTTTTTGGGGGGTTTAAAAAAAATATATCTTTCATTTAAACTTAAAAAAAAGTGCTGGTCATAACATTCCATGTTTATGCCAGATTGACATGTTTTCCTGAAAATCACGGGAAAACTTACCACTGTTGAATTTTCCTCGTAGTCAAATCTTGGGAGACTCGTCAAACTTAAGCTGCACGCAAAGTTACAGCTTGCTGGTAATCATTTTTTTCTTTGTACGCGGGCCCGTGGACTATAAATAGAATTACTCCAGTGGAATTAGAGGTTGAACGTGAAAAAATTATTAGTAGACATTTTATTGCACTTTATGACTGGGAAGAGTATGTAGAATGATAATATCAAAAAAGTAACTCGATAGAAGTAACGTTTAAGTTGGCAAATTATAAATAAGTGGCAAATTTACGTGTTTTTTTCACTTTTATTACTGCCCACGAAAATCTAGACGACCTATCGGAAAACTGGTCATTTTATGTTGTAAGCAATTAAATTACCTACAATTTAAAGTATCTAAAGTCATATTTCTCCAATTTGTTAATAATTGTAAAATGAAAGTCAAACGCAGAAAAATCAGTTTTTGGAAATTTTACATTATTATTGGAAAAAGCGATGGATGTTCATGAATTTATGCGAAAAACTGTCATTCCAAAGACCAACATGTGTAACAAAATCCGATTCTATTGACCGTTGAATTGTTGCTCCAGGTACTCGTTAATTAATTTCGATCGATTTTTTACAACTAATAGTTTAATTAATTATTAAACGTTAATTTTAGATGTTAATATCGTAGATGTAGGTTCTAATTGATCCAAAGAAACGATCAAAAAAACGAAAATTTCAACAAGTTGAAATTAAGTAGGACTTTACAATTAACAAAGTACAACGTACAAAACAGCGTTATAAATAAATTGTTTCAGGGTCAGGCAAAAATGATATATCGATTTTGGACGACACATCACATTTACATGTGATTGTCATGTCTAGAGAATACACAAAATTATATGTAGATCGATTTATTTATGATTCTAGTTACCGTAATACCAATATAAATAGTTGTCATCATTTTTAGCATTAGTAAGTACTGAATAAATTAGTACAGCAAACAGCAATGTCGGTGTTACTGCTATTTGCAACATTCATATTAGTGGGAATTTTTTACTATTATGTTGTCACGCCTTTAAATTACTGGAAAAGTCGTGGAGTTGAACAGGGTAACCCCATATGGTTATTCGGCCACTACTGGAAAAATTTTATAGGATGGAAAAATGGCGCTGAAACATTTCAGGAAATATACAAACAGAATCCCGATTTGAGGTAGGCCCTGAGAATTTAAATGAGCATTTTCGGAAAATTTAAATATTGTTTACTTTTTTGGTTTTAATTTTCTACTACTTTTCTTCTAGATATACTGGATTTTACCGGTTTTCCAGTCCCACTTTCGTAGTAAAAGACCCGAAATTAATAAAGAAAATGATTGTTGAAGATTTCGACACTTTTCTGAAACATCCACAGTTTATTCCTACACAGGCAGATCCCTTATGGGCAAACCATTTGTTCAATCTTACAGGTGGGTCATTTTGCTTATTGCAAATAGATGGAAATTGATTAAATATTTTATACTAACACTACCCTCATTAATTTAATTGATTTAGTAGTAAAAGTTGATCCATTTTTAGCCTGAATACCTATACAGTCTGCTGATTAGGCAAAAATAAATAAAAAAAAAACAAACAAACTAGTGACTGACTGTTTTAAGTTACTTTGGCGAGGTTTTAATTTTTTTCCAAGATGGCAAAACAGCGAAATAAACGGGTTTCTTAATATTAAAAATTATGACATTTCTTGCTCGATTTTAGGCTCAAAATGGAGATGTATTCGTACTATCCTCAACCCCTGCTTCACCAGCAACCAAATAAACGATTTGCTTCCACAAATGATAAGGTGTGCAGATAATCTCACATCACACCTTTCGAGGAAGAACCAGGAGGTAGTGACCCTAGAAATAGGAGACACTTTCTCTCGCTACGTCAGTGACGTGATAGCCACCATAGTTTTCGGGGTTACAGTGAACTCGTTTACAAACCCAAACAACAAATTTTACGAATTAAGCAATAAGATTTCGGACACGAACAGCTTCTTCAAGACCTTTGGACTAAAGCTGGTTTGGTTTGTACCCGCAATTAAAAACGTAAGTAACACAAAACATTTCTGATAGTCTGCAACTGGAGAAATGCATGTAATGTTCTCCTCCAATTTTAGACACTGACACCTTCATTTTTTCAAAAATGGCGATTAACAATTTGTGGAAAAAAAATAACGTAGATTTCAAAAAATTGTACTAAACATTTTTTAATAAGAACATTATGGCACATTAAAAAAATTCTCCCATAGAAACAATGTAATAATCTCGTTTCAGTTTGTGAAGATGCAGGTTTTCCCTGATGATGCCGCCGCATATTTCCGCAAGATTGTAGATGACAACATAAAATCTAAAAAAGAAAAAGACACAATGCCACCAAATATGTTGCATATCTTCACGGAAGCAATGAAGAACGGGCAAACACGGGAAAATATAGTAGACAATAAAGCAGAGTCCAATAGTATAGGTACATACATATTTTTTTACACAGCAGTAGCAGATTTTTAACTCTATCTTCTTAAACTCTATAAATATTTAGGTACATTTATAATTATCAAGCCACCAATGTGTTTCTGTATTACTTAAATTACACAGGCCGACAAAATTTCAAAAAAAAAAATCCAGAGATCAGACACTACGCTTCCGAAGGCATTTGGCGCGCCGAATCCGAATCTGGCCTCAGAATTGATCCATCACCCTAGGTTTCCGAGATATTCTAACCTAAAAGTGCAAAAAACACGTACTTTTGCTATATTCAAGGTTATGTAACTTGGCGAAAAAAATTTTTTTCT